GTGAGTAATCATTGTTTATTACTTATGCTTAGTTCGTCGGAAATTTTGGCCTCAAATGACGTCACGCGCAACGAAGCCGCGCAAAGTCGAGTTTCATAAAGTTTGCACGTTTCCAACGTACTATTTCAAAAGAAATTTATAAACGTCATTCCGTTTTGGCTTTCGGTTGACACGTGTTTTGTTCACACGCACAAAATCACAAAACGGCAAAGTATAAGTCGACGCTGTTTCCGGAATCTATCTGTTACGACAACAACGTGTACAAAATAGACATAGCGTAAAAGTAAAATACAAATTTGTATGCAGTTGGAACAGCGGCAAACGTAGGCCAACGTTCCAACTCTATACAAATTCGAGTTAACTTTAACGCTATCGAGAACGTAAAAAAAACCTCACACTAAGCCCACAGACTTCTAAAACTTCATTAAACAAAAACCCGAAACCAATGCCTGGAGCAAAAACAAACGGAACTAACTACACCTCAAACTAAACTGTAAGTCCTTCCCTAAATGCAAGCACATATTCTACTCGCACTATATTCACAAAGTATCGTTTGGAATATACATAACTCGACGGATATAAAACATATATTTATATACAAACGCATATAGTATATTTATCCGGTTAACGAAACCCGACATCGTGTTGAATACAAATATTGTTTTTTGTCGGCATGTCATAATATTATTCTGGATTTCATATTCCTTAAAATTACTCATTGTATTTTTACTTTTCTAATTTAATGATGTTGTCAACTATTCATACCCGATCCTGCGGACCGAATGGTAAACAGTCAATGTCGCCCTTAACACGTTATTACGGATCCTCCCGATTCATTAACGGTGCTTTTAGGTACCTCAAGCACCGGCTTTTAGGTACCTCAAGCACCGGTCACCGTCCTCGTCGAACCTGTCGTTTGAGACGAGTAAATTAACCGACAGACACAGCCTATTGAGTTTCTTGCCGGATCTTCTCAGTGGGTCGCGTTCCCTATCCGATGGGGATGCGAAGCTCTGCTCTTGCTAGGGTCAGTGTTAGCAACACTCCCGGTTTGAGTCCCGTACGTTCACCTACACGTTAGATCGAAGCTGAAATAGCCTCTCAAGGCTATCAGCATAGGTAGGAAAAAAAGTCAACTATTGCACTGTCGATTGCACCTATAATTGAGGTGACATCTGTCAGAAGCGTTCGCCTGTAATGTAACATGTTCAGATTCGAACGTTAACTCACTGAGAATAAACAGCATTACAATAGGTAACCTATAAGCGAAACGATTAGTAAAATCAATGTACACCATTCACAATCCACTTGTATTAGTGCGGTTCGGAACAGATTGTAACACCAATAGCTTCTTTTACATTTTTTGGCGTTAAAAATATAATGGTTCGATCAATTCCAGATATTCGAAACAAAATCTGATTACTCCCGGTGAAGGTCATTTGGATATATATTTTTTAAGGATTGATCGATTACTGGTGGCCCGGAGGCCTTTCCAGTTTCACCAGGACAGGTGGGCGAGCAAAGGCTCAGCCGGGAGGGGTGGGATTTGCTAACAGCTGCCCGAGCGCCTCCGAAGGAGACCTAACCACTCAAGAGCACATGTTTCGCAAATAAATTTAGATATTTCTGGAGCAGAATGGAACAGCAACCTAATCGCGCTTATTCGCCGTGTTCTTCCACCAACAATAACCGCCCAACAAAACCAGTTGGGCTGTGAGGTTCTCTTCTTAGATGTTCGCTTATTGCTAAGTGTGATAGATAGTACGGTGGTAATATGGTAACAATTACTATCTTGAGCGTGTGCAAAAGTTTAGTACGACCAATCATAAAGCTTCATTGTTTTCTTTTCGTAAAGATATTGCAAGTCTTGGTTGGTTGGAGAGGCACACGGATCATCACAGATGTCGACACAGTGCTGACTGTGTTTAAAGCAACGTAAATACGTTATAATCAAGCATATCAGAATCCTGAGAGGGATTATTAAGAAACAATTTTTTTTTTGTTTTTCAATTCAAGCATAAACAATAAAGGTTTTCGCGCTTTCGATATACAATAGTCATAAACATTCCAAATTTATACGAGGTAGAACCTGCTAGACTAACTGCCTATTAAAATTAAATAAGCATGTTACAAATTTACCATCGTTGTGACGACATGGTCATTACACAATTAAGCTCCTAAATATTTTAACTATGTCTAGAGTACCAATTATTTAGTTCAAGTTGTGACTATTCGCGTAACACGTAGCTGGTGGTGGGACCTCTTTTGAGTCCGCGCGAGTAGGTACCACCACCCTGCCTATTTCTGCCGTGAAGCAGTAATGCGTTTCGGCTTGAAGGGTGGGGCAGCCGTTGTAACTATACTTGAGACCTTAGAACTTATATCTCAAGGTGGGTGGCGCATTTACGTTGTAGATGTCTATGGGCTCCAGTAACCACTTAACACCAGGTGCGCTGTGAGCACGTCCACCCATCTAAGCAATAAAAAAAAATACGCCAATGTATGAGAGTGGTTAAGCACTAAACATAAAAACTAAAAGTAATTAATTGAAGGTATGATCGACTTGAGTAAAATTAGGCAGTTATCTAATCCACTGAGTAGATTCTAGTGGAACAAGCCCTATATAAATAGCATCATGGATCCAATGATGGTCATGCCCAATATACCATTATAGAAGTTCACTAGTTTATCAAAACAGATACTTAAAATATATCTTATCAGTAATGTGTTTGTGAATGGTCTAAAAATAATAATGTTGTCTGACAGTTGTAGTTAATACTAAGAAATTCTCATAAAAAACTTTTGCCTCGCAAAAACATAATACTAAATTCTAATATAATATCTAACTCATACGAAAACAAAGTTTAAAGTCATTTTTTACCTTTACTAAAAACTCTTAGGCACCTACGTTAAAGATGAGAAAACACAAAACAGTAATATTAATACAGTAAGTAATTTTCAATTAAAACAATAATTTTTCTCAGTTCACTCTGCTGGGTAGTGTGTCAGTGCTTCTATAGTAATAATAATAATAATTCATTTATTTGTATAGAATGCAGGTACAAGTATGGTCTTAGTAAATGGTTAAAAAAGTTATGGTTAGCTTCATATTTTATTACCATTAGGTAATAGTAATAACAACTTTAGATAAGGATCAAGTTACAGAAGCAAGCCCTGCTACAGCAGACCAATAAAAACATACAAAACTCAATGATGTTTAAAAGAAATAACTTTTTAAACACAACTAATATGTATAATCATATAATACCTAATATAATATTATACAAAGCGGTCTATAGTTTTGTTAAGGTAAATTGAGAATAATTTTTTACATTAGCAACTAAAACAAACAAGTGAGTAATATTTTTGTCATATATACTTAACGAAATTAATCTCTTGCTCTAGTAATAGCATACTTACCCATAGAAATGGGCAAATTCGACAACTTAGTCAGGAGGGTCTTAATATTGAGTCTTATAAGCATTTGTACCGATATTGTCTTCTTCTAACCCTTATCACACTATGTATGGTTGGTGGAGCATGTTCCCTTTTTCCATTCAGGCTTATCGTATGTCATCTCTGCACTGTCAACCTTCTCTCGCAAGTCTTCTTTTATACAGTCCGTGTAAGTATTTTTTTAGGATGCACAACTACTATCAAGCCCAAACTCATTTTGGCATAAGCTCTATTGTATTATTATTAAATTCCAATATAATAGCAGCTTACTCTTTAAGCAATGAATAATTCCAAATTTACAAATATATCACAACAAAAGTAAGGTGAACATATTTTAGCATGAAGAACTGCTGTTAGGTAATCATTCCTTTAGAAAATAATTTTAAGGCAAATGACAGTACTCACTACAAATTATCGCTAACTGTGAAATATAATTTCCCTATCCATCTTGAGTAAAGGTGAAGTCTGATTAAATATCAACTTTTTATAAATATATCTTAAATATATACAGTTCAATATACTGATTTTGTTCTGTTGGTAATGTAGTATGTAAATCAGGGAGGAATTACTTCTTACAGATAGTAGAGTATTCGGTTTGAAACTCAGTCCAATATTGGTTTCACGAAAATAGTAGAATCAAAATAAAAAATTGAAATGAAATCATCATCTTTGTGTGTAATCTCAAATGAATTAGATGAAGAATTAAAAGTGAAAAAGTGTTTACAATATCAAGACATTATTTTTTAAATATAAAGAAACGTATAATAAAATTCGGTTAAATATATCAATTCAACCGGTATATTTCATTTCATTATATTTACATTAGAATTATGTAGTCATAAGTTTCAAAACTTAAAATTCATTTCGCCGCGTAGGTACCGGCATTGTACTTGTTTGTAAACAAATAACATATGATCTAATGATCACACTTTTTAGATGAAAATCAGGTTATTTCAAAATGATTTCAAGCTGCTAATACTAATAAAACGAGCCGTTTTCACTTAGTACCGCGCTGATATCTCGTCTCAGCAAATTACGGGACTTTGCGAACATCAACGAAAACACCATGAGGCGAATACGCGCCAAATTATAATCAACAAATATTAAGCACGTGTTGTGCGTCGTTCAATATTTATAATGATTTTAAATAACTATTTGTTCATCCAGTTTAGAATNAAGCTGCTAATACTAATAAAACGAGCCGTTTTCACTTAGTACCGCGCTGATATCTCGTCTCAGCAAATTACGGGACTTTGCGAACATCAACGAAAACACCATGAGGCGAATACGCGCCAAATTATAATCAACAAATATTAAGCACGTGTTGTGCGTCGTTCAATATTTATAATGATTTTAAATAACTATTTGTTCATCCAGTTTAGAATGTTCAATCCCAAACATTAAGGTATAGGAGAAATGAGAAATTGAAATATTAATTTTTAGGAAATAATTACGCCTCTAGCGGTGGAAACAAGAAACATAAATGTAATGGCCGACACACAGTAGTTTCGATGACTTAACATCTAAATGCGCATAATACTTACACTTTCCTCTTCTTTTTCCATTCCAGAGGGCATTTGAGGTACTGCACGATTAATCGCCGAGTAGTCCGGTAGGTCCGGAAGCTCCTCGGCGAGGTATATAGGCATTGGTTTCGACGCATCTAGGGCCCTCGCCCTAAACGAGAGCTTCGACATTTTGTTGACAGAACAAAACACGCTAGCGTCGACACAAAAATGCACTAATTAAACACTTTGTAGCTCCTCCAGGAGGTCTCAAAGGACCTTAAACTGCACTTTACACACTCTAGTTCGTTCCCATGGTTAATTTTTGCACGCACTCAGTCACAATTAATGAAAAACAACAACGAAACTTTGCAAATTGAGCGTACTTTACGGAAAGCCATCATGGCGGCTTTCCATTTGGCGGACGACCATGATCAACTTCCACCTCGGACGCCGTGCGCGGGAAGGAAACACGCGGGGACCATTCGAAACATTTTAATACTTTTAATCGTATTATCATTAAAAAAGTAATATGATATGACAGTTTTATTGTAAATAATAAACAATATTTACTTAAGTATAAAACTCATTTAATATCGCCAAACTTGATTATTCTTTATTAAATAAATGCGAGAACGACTCGAAGTCCACAGTAATGCCATAGACAATTTAATACATTTCTTTTTAGGGCTTGGCTTTGATGGATTTTAAATTTTAAGTTGTTATTTTATGTTTATATAATTGTGCATTTCGATATATAATTTCCAGTACATATTTATCAGGTTAAACAATTAATATAATACAATCAATTTTTATTTTTATTTTATTGGCCCCACCCATAAAGCAAAGAGTTCTATGTCTAATTTCTGTCAGTTGCTGTTATGCTAGTGCATTTGATTTACCTACCTATACTAATCCTACTATTTTTTTAAACTTATTGCTAACTCTCGAGTTAAAAAAGTTTAAATTACAATCTATTACGCATTCATCACTTCTGATGGTTTAATGCTGTATGTTTCCAATACGCGTCTGGGTCGGGCCGAATCGACACTAATGTTAAATAAATAAAAAGTACAAGATACTTCATACCGAAATTATGTTTTACAACCGACATACTGAGTACTTAAAATAGTAAATAAATGGTCTTTCCTTGGCTTACATTTTATTTTTTGCATTTAGTTGTCTTTTACATCATGTCATAATAGTGGAAACAAATTAAAACTTGGAAGCTGTTATTAATACATAATTAAATCAGTAATTTTAAATTTATTTTAGATAGCCGTGGGTAGATACTTTTTTATTTATTTATATTTATTTTTGAATTGAATGCATTGTATTGTTTGCGTGTGACGAGTAACATTTGTTACCATCAAGATCGCCTATTAATATTTGGTAACATTTAAGTATATAAGTACAATTGTTAAAAAAATTTACATATGTCAAAAGTAAGCAATTTTTTGCATACGTTGGTATATAGGTCAAAGAAGAATAACTTCTTGCGTGCGTATAAAGTTAAATACATGGTACTTATTCGATCTAAAGTTTGACGAAAATTTGTATCCTAAAATTTTTAAAATAAATTTAAATGTATTTATTTCTGAATTACTATTAATAGGAATTAGATTTTAAGGAAGTCCTTACAAAAGGAACGAAGAATTTACAAAAGTGACCACCAAAATGCAACATTAGTTCAGTACATATCGGGTAGAGCTAATTGCATTCCGCGTCATGATAATCGTCTTATCGTTCGCCGCTGACTACTCCTCGAATCCTGATCACGCAGGAGCCAGTCACCGTCGACGCCCTAGACACATCCTTACGGATCCATCAGATCCAAAAACCTTTGCATTAGACGCCTTCAGCTCTAACACTAGGAGCAGGCTTAGGGACCTCGGTAACCGTATTCGTAGAACTCGTAATCCTTCAATCATAAAAAAAAAATTGCAGTCCGATCTATACACTACGTTTTTTTTTGAATGAACGGAAGGTACGACTGAAAATATACGTTAATACTTTACTTTAAATATTAGTTTTAAAAAAAATTGTAGTTGGAAAATTATAGAGTAAGTACATATTTTATGCATTACGAAACGCAAAAAAAATAATTCCCAATGACACTATTATTTTGGCTCTATTCTCAAATTTAGGAATTTAGCTACAGTAACGCCATCTTTAATTCGTTACTTAACATTTTCTGACAGATTTGAGTTCTACTGTTTTCGCCTACCTTTATGTTGAAAATATTTAGGAAATAAAAATATCCACTTCTTTTCTTTGTTTATGATGTTTAAGTCGAATTCCCTTATTTTTATTTATAAGAAAGTATTTACTATAAAAAAAACACTTTTCAATTAAACAATAATTTATTCAGAAAAAAAAGAGTAAATGGACAAGTTAAAAATACGATTTACATAGTTAATGCTTTGAGTATCATAATTCATTAAATTTGTAATAATCATTAAAAAAACCATACATTTTTACAAACATCCGTCAATACAAACATTACAATATATCACTGGACATTCACACAAGAAATGGATAAACATGAAATTTTGACATTCATTTTATTCATTATTCATTCTTTATATTCTCACAAAGTTCTTTACAACCAAACAATACATATCAAATTGTTTCTCATTTACTTTCAGTTAATAATGAAATATTGCAGTCTGTGCTAATGTTACCAGAATTTTTCTTTTCTTAATTTTAATTATTACACAATTTAAGAAAATCTGATCCGCGATTTTATTTAATAGAGCATATCTTACACTAAGTTAATTTAAAATAAATATACAATGCTTTTAATAGGAAAATTCGGATTCGATCTGTCATTTTTATTTTCTCCATTCTTAACGCAATGGCGTCTCTATTTAATTAATTATTTTTTAAATAATCTTATACATTTCAAAGCGATTTTTATATATATGTATATTTATTTAATGCATAATAATCCTGTACCTTATGATATATGGATACTATGTTACAATGTGAGCTTTGTAATAAATTGTTTTAGCATATAATTGTAGGTATACAACTTTCAGATTCATCAAATTCATAGTGATTGAATTAATTTTGTCAGACAATAATTTTTTTCGAGCACGTAATTGATAAGGTTGCTTCGAAAAAATCGAAAAAGCCCTTTCTGTACTAAAATCCTGAATAGTATTTTAAAGGGAACAATATCTTGAGAAGTAATTTAAAACATAAGAAACTGCATGAAATTTGTATGTAACCTTTGCAAAATTTGTTTGTAATGTAACCGAGAACTTCATTTAATAATTATTTTTTTCTTTGTAGATACGAACGTCTTAGGGAATATATTGGATAGTAAATTTCTTAGCAACTAATCAAGCCATGTTCTCTTTAAAAATATTTTAAATTTTATTTGATTATTATTGTGTTCTATATAGTTAGTGCAATCAGCTTTGCTCAGTAGCACTAGTGCAGTCCCCCGTCGGCGCCTGTGTCTTCGGTGTTTTTCCGACAAAGATTTCCACTTCCTGTAACAATCGATTGTAAATTAGTATATCTTATGTAATTACTGTTATCACCGCAGCACTTAGTAACAGTGAGCCATCTCTTGACAAAGAGAAGCACTTAATAGTGCAGACGGACAAGAATTAACGCCATTTATAAAGGAGCAGATGACATGGAGCCACAGAGTTCCGGTGTGGGGTCTGGCGTATATATTCCAATGTGTACGAGAACTATCAAAAAACAATTTCATTATTTTATTCAGCTTGTACCACTATTTATTTATTTAACTTAATGCACAACAGTACAGTGGCGGACTTGATGGCTAAGGCATTCTCTACCAGTCCCTCCAGAGCCAGGATACATAGAATAGTAGTATATAGTTCTATTTTTTCAACTGAAAAGGCAAAGGTACTACTATACCATACGGCCTAATCTCTTGCATATTTTTTTATGAAATATGATAATATGAAGTGTTTTTTATTTTGTTTTGATGATGAGTGATGAGTTCTAAGGTCTCAGTATGAAATGAAATAAAGTTGATTATGTTACAACATTAATCAATAGGCATAAAATTAAATGAGATGAGATGATATGGGATTGGTTATTTTCTGAGACTTTTTCAGTGGACTTTTGCCACGACGGTAGGCAGCGGCTTGGCTCTGCCCCTGGCATTGCTAAATTCCATGGGCGACGGTAACCACTCACCATCAGGTGGGCCGTATGCTCGTCTGCTTACAAGGGCAATAAAAAAAAAAACGACACCTTTAATCTAGGTCTTATTTTTTTTTCTTACTTTGTATTATAATATAAAAAAATGATATGAAGTTGTGACGTAATATGAGAACATTTATTACGGTGCGGTAAGTATACTAGTGTACATAGTCGTGCATATAGGAAGGATTAAATTTTTTACATGAATCGTCTTTGTCTTCAATGGAAGAGAGTCCTTAAAGCGATCCGGTAACCTTAACACTAATGTTCAATACTTGGAGCTTCCAATCGACACCGTGATGGCAGCATAAAAGAAATTTATTTTCGCGGACAGATGAGCAGTCAGTCCATCGGATGGTAAATAGTCGCCCATGGACGTCAGCAGTACCAGGAGCAGTAAGTATACTGAGGACTCTCCCCAAAACTTGTTTGAAGAAGAATCTGTGATTACTCCGAATAACTAATTATATTCCAATACTTTTTTTTGATCTGTCTTATATACATATGAAATTAGCCAATCTCGAAGGAATTAAATAGGCGATGGTTCATGAACGTCACTCACATGAAGGACTTACGGGAGTCCATGGACACTTTGCGACATGAGGTCTAGTCTCAAATCGCCTTTTCGCATTAAAAGTGTACAATTTCCTAAAAAAATATTCGAAATTGAGTTAATATGCGTAAACATTTGGTATCACCAGTATTTTTCTCATAAGTACTGTCAAAAATAGTTTAGTAGTTTAGTTTTAGTTTTTTTTTTTAGTTTACTTTTGTTTTGATTACTGTTAACAAAATTAATACATAATTTTATCTTACTTTAAAAGACAGATAATGTAACTGGCAAAAAAAAAAAAAAATTTTGCAAATATGTTCATTAACCCTTCGACTGCCATGTAGGTCACCGGTACCCTACGTGGCGCACTCAAGTAATTATGTCGATTTCTGTATGTATGTTTTAATATTTTAGGTATCTTTGAAATAGATTCGTACTCAGTATGTTTGGATTCGTCTTTCCTAGTATCTACTAGATATTTCGGCGCCTTGATAATCGAAATCGATTAATTACTTGAGTGCGCCGCGTAAGGTACCAGTGACCTACATGGCATTTAATGTGTTAATAAAAACATCACATGTTAAATATTTAAAACAGTCTCCTGTAAAATTAGTAAGTTTTGTTTGAGATTATACAGTTTTAATGCGAGAAGACTAAATATGTATTGTATACTTCGCTCCTAAAATAGACTTGCTGTAGTGAACATTACGTAGCGATGTGTGGTGCAGTTACCTGACTGCCTTCGACGGGCACGTCGCTTTGACTCTGGCTCGCGGAGGTGGAGGCGCGGGCCGCCAGTTGACGCTCGCGGGCGACGCGCCTGCAACAAGAGAAATAGTTTGAAACACAATATTTTTATACGTTTTTAGAACAGGTTTTTTTTAAATTGCTTAGATGGGTGGACGAGCTCACCTGGTGTTGTCGTTACTAAAGCCCATAGACATATACAACGTAAATACGCCACCCACCTTGAGACATAGTTCTAAGGTCTCACAATAGTCACAACGGCTGCCCCACCCCTCAAACCGAAACGCATCACTGCTTCACGGCAGAAATAGGCAGGGCGGTGGTACCTACCCGTGCGGACGCACAAGAGGTCCTACCACCAGTAATTACGCAAATTATAATTTTGCGGGTTTGATTTTTATTGCACGATGTTATTCCTTCACCGTGGAAGTCAATCGTGAACATTTGTTGAGTACGTATTTCATAAGAAAAATTGGTACCCGCCAGCGAGATTCGAACACCGGTGCATCGTTCGATACGAATGCACCGGACGTCTTATCCTTTAGGCCACGACAACTTCTAGTTTAACATTATTTTAATTTTTTTTTATTGCCTTTTTAGGCAGACGAGCGTACGGCCCACCTTATGGTGAATGGTTACTGTCGCCCATGGACTTCAGCAATGCCAGGGGCAGAGCCAAGCCGCTGCCTACCGCTTAATACTCTCCACAAGCCTCGTTTGAAGAAGGACATGTCATAGCGCTCGGGAAACACCGTGGAGGGGAGCTCATTCCATAGCCGGATGTTACGTGGCAAAAAAGACCTCTGGAAGCGCACTGTGGATGACCGCAGTGGCTCCAGGTAGTACGGATGAACGATGGTAAAAACGAGATACCGATATCAGAAATTATATAAGAAGATATATAAAAACGAGATGCCGGTATTTAAGAGGTTATACCTTCTGTGTTCAAGCATGGCTTTCCTGTCGGCCTCTCGTTTCTCGGCAGCTAGTCTCGCCTTCTCGTTGAGGGCGACGGGCGGGGCGCGGGGGCGGGGGCGCGCCGCCGGGACGCTCGCCGGCCGAGAGGGGGGCGGGGACACCTGGAATATATGCAATGAAACATTAAATACAGTGTCACGAAATGTGACGAAATGACGTCATATTTAAATGGCTTATATCTGGGATCTTGATGACACGTCAACGGTAAACAACGTCGCAGCGAATGGATCATCTCTGTACGTGTTCAGAATGTACAAGCGTTTGTGTGACTTGTAACGTCAATCATAGCACAGTCACAGGATTGAGTGACTGTCGATTTTTTTTTTGTTAATATTTCAACCTGGTTTCATAAAAGTTATACGTAACAAAAAGATTATAAATGAATATCCGATCTGTGTATTCTAATATCAAAGACTTTATTGAGTCGAAGACATGATGAAATCAAATATTGTTATGTGAGAACAACTCGAATTCCATCAGCAACGTCTTAAACAAATTGATATTTTTTTTTCTGATTTAACTTTGGTGGAAATAAATTACTGTTTTGAGTTGTTTTTTGTGTCCATCATTGTCTTTTCTCTGTAAGTATTTAGCAAAAAGAACAATTAATTGTTTCAATTTATATTTTACAACGCCTTCGCCTTATGAGGCAAACAGCTGTTTCATTTTTCGTTAGCTGACCGACGATAACCTCAAAAAGCAGACCTCAATCTAAAGCCTCACCTCGACCCAGTTGTTCTGTTTCAGCTCGTCCAAATGCCTGTACAGGGCGTCCACGTTCCTGACCTGCAGACACACCATGTCCCAGAAGCCCTGGAGGTCTTCGACTGTGGTCGGGAAGGGCTCGTCTTGCCTCTCATTGATATTGTTATAACACAGTCCTGAGAAAACGTTCAATCAGTTTTAGAGGTCACCGGGTCACATAGACATTTCAGTGTTGGACTGGACGTAGAAGATCAGGCGTACTATGACGTTACTGGTGGTAGGCACGGGTAGGTACCACCATCCCGCCTATTTCTGCCGTGAAGCAGTTTCGGTTTGAAGGGTGGGGCAGCCGTTGTAGTTATACTGAGACTTTAGAACTCATATCTCAAGGTGGGTGGCGGCATTTACGTTGTAGATGTCTATGGGCTCCGGTAACCGCTTAACACCAGGTGGGCTGTGAGCTCGTCCATCAATCTGAGCAATAAATAAATAATAGACGGGATATTAACTAACCCCACACTAAAATTTCATTGAAGAATTAGATGACGTCACCAGCCCTTATGGCCTTAACCAGTTAACTTACAGAAGGGTCTAGGAATAATTCCAGCATGGAGTGAGCTTAGTGTGCGAGCTTTTTAACGTTATCGATAGCGTAAACGTTAATTCAAATTTCTAAATTCAAAATGATTTATTACGATTTGGACGTTACATATGCCATGTCAGATAAGAATGGTAAAAAGCTCCCGGCTACTAAGTAAGGGTTACCACTGCTCAGAGACACGAACGTCGCGCAGTCCGTCTTGACACAAGCCAGCATAGGTACTCACACCAGATTATTTTTTGCTTCGAAGGATTGTCAAGCTCAAAGCTCACCTGGTATTAAGCGGTTACCGAAATTACATTAATACCGTAAATGCCATCACCCACCTCGAGACACGAGTTCAAAGTCCCAGTTTTACAGTACAACAACCTGCCACACCCTACAATTCAAACGCATTACTGCTTCACGGCAGAAATAGGCAGGCATGGGCAATTGTAGAATTTAGTACAGAAACAGTGTGTGAGATTTAAAAAAAAATTAGTATAACGCCCATTTTATTAGTAGGTTAATTAGTGTAATTGTTTAATGTCTATTGTGAGTAAAATTATTTCCTTACATTATAAGTTAGATTATTTTTTTGTCGTATCGTAGTAAGGAGCATTATGTACAAATTCGGTAGGCAGCGGCCTGGCTCTGCCCTTGGCATTGCTGAAGTCCATGGGCGACGGTAGCCACTCACCATCAGGTGGGTCGTATGCTCGTCTGCCTACAAAGGCAATAAGAAAAAGAAAAAAAAACACACACACACTTTTGTCTTGCTTAGTCGTGCATACATGGCTTATGTTGCAAGCCGGATTTTGTTTTATTTACTTGTTGTTATCTTTTTAGCTTGCCATGTGTATTGTTTGTGTCCCTAATAAATAAATAAATGAATGAATGAATGAATGAATGAATAAATAAATAAAATAAAATAAAAAAGTAGGTACCTTCAAACTGTTGCATCTTCTGCGTGGCCAGGAGTCTGGCCTTTCCGGAGGCGGCCCGCAGCAGGCCAAGTACTTCTTCGCTCACATCTTTATCCTGAAGCACATTCGTTCATCACATATTAATTAGGTTCCAACATAGTTCCAACATAACAATAGGACAGTCGACTTATAACTATCGACTTGTAACTATACTGAGATCTTAGAACTTATATCTCAAGGTGGGTGGCGCATTTACGTTGTAAATGTCTATGGGCTCCAGTAAACCCTTAACACCAGGTGGGCTGTGAGCTCGTCCACCCGTATAAGCAATAAAAAAATCTGCTAAAATTGTTTCATGAACTTGACTGCAGATGACTTTTCCAACATCCAACATTTACCACCACCCAGGCTATTTCTGCTGCGAAGCAGTAACGCATTGCGGTTTCAAGGTTCAGAGAGCCATTATAGACCCACATTGACATTAGCCATTGGCTTGTCCACCCATCTATGCAATCTATATCTATCTTCTATCTATATATATAAAAATGAATTGCTGTTCGTTAGTCTCGCTAAAACTCGAGAACGGCTGGACCGATTTGGCTAATTTTGGTCTTGAATTATTTGCGGCAGTCCAGAGAAGGTTTAAAAGATATATATATATGAAAATACTCGGAATTAAATAAAAACAACAATTTTGTTTTTCCTTTGATGTGTCCCCCGTCATTCCTTTTGTTTGTTTTAAGTTTATTTTATACAAAAGTTTAGTCTTTTATTTATCGATTGAGGCACTACGAAGTCTGCCGGGTCAGCTAGTAAAGAATAAAAACAGGCAAACGAAAACACTTCATTTATTTGCTCGCAAAACTAATATCGGTGCAGAGAGCGTCACAAATCCTCCATCAAGGCTTCCACAAATTCGTTTACAGGACAATAGAATCTTCTAGGCTCATTAGTTACGCCATTTAAAATAAGTTTTCAAGGTTAAGTCTTCGGTTCACCGTCATGGGAACACTAAATTTATTATTCCTAAAATCCGTGCAAGATTGAAAAGAACAACTATGGATATTTGTAATTTTGTTTTACAAATTTGACAATAGTGTCTTTTTGTTATATTTTCTGTATTTCCTTTGTGACATGAATTTAGAATCGGACACAAGTGATTTCAATTATACAAATAAAAAAATAAGCTAATTTGTTTTGTGTAATATTTGTTGCGATGCACTGGTGTTCGAATCCCGCAGGCGGGTACCAATTTTTCTAATGAAATACGTACTCAACAAATGTTCACGATTGACTTCCACGGTGAAGGAATAACATCGTGTAATAAAAATCAAACCCGCAAAAATTATAATTTGCGTAATCACTGGTGGTAGGACCTCTTGGGAGTCCGCACGGGTAGGTACCACCACTCCGCCTATTTCCGGGTAGGGCGTGTTATGAGTCCGTACGGGTAAGTACCACCACCTTGCCTAGTTCTGCCGTGAAGCAGTAATGCGTTTCGGTTTGGAAGGTGGGGCAGCCATTGTTCTTTAAAACTGAGGCTTAGAATTTATTTATCAAGGTAGTTGTCGGAATTTAAGTAGTTGATTGCTATGGTCTTTGTTAACCATTTAGCACCAGCTAGTCTGTGAGCTAGTCCACCCTTATAACTCTCTCTCCCTCTCTTATTTCTCCCACACGCTGGTGGGGTCAGATTTCCTTATTAGATGTGTGGACGAGCTCACAGCCCACCTGGTGTTAAGTGGTTACTGGAGCCCATAGACATCTACAACGTAAATGCGCCACACACCTTGAGATATAGTTCTAAGGTCTCAGTATAGTCACAACGGCTGCCCTACCCTTCAAACCGAAACGCATTACTGCTTCACGGGAGAAATAAGCGGCAGAAATAATCCTCCACTTCCCTCTGTCTTCTTCCACCAATAAAATAAAAACCAATAAAAAAGGGTTCCAGTTTGACGGCTGCAACAGCTGCTGTGCTACAAAACGGTGGAGACTTAAATCTCTCGTTTCAATGTGGGTGGAAGCACTCTTGAGATCTATGGATTTTAATAGCCCCTTGACATAGGCTTAAATATTGATAGAGCTTGTATGCAAGAGGAGCAGAAAAAGTAATTTGCCATAATAAACCTTTTGGCAATAAATTTAAAATGTAAAAGTTGTAATTACCTGTAAATTCTCCAATTCCTTTTCAGCACTGGCAGACAATGCCAATAACCTCTCAGTCTCCTTCTTCTCGAGATCCAAAAAGTAATAGGCATCTTTGACTGCCTCCCCGTTGATTTCCTTGCCGTTGACAGCATCGTTATTCAAGGAATCATCAATTTTTATCACAGATACACCGTTCGTCACCACTTCGCTGAGTTCAGTCTTCGTGTCCAGTCGTGGAATGTCTTCTTCTAATTTCTGCGGCGATAGTTCAGCTTTAACACTCTTTTTTGGTGAATGTATTGGTAATTGGGCCCGAAATTCGGGTCTCAGGTGCCTGAGCACAGGTAGAGAGACGCTAGAATCTAGATTCCCATTTGGACTGGTGTAGGCGTCATCAAAGCTCTTGTTTAGTTTCCTTACCGAGTATTCCGGGCAATTTAGAGATTTCTCTGTCAATACCTTCGAATCATCGTCTTCACTTTGACTTTTCAATCTTTTCTGGTTAAAAAACCCCTGGGCTAAAGCTCCGGGGCCGTACAGCCTCTCGACCCGTTGTTGTATGAAGCTTTTCATGGGACTCGTCAACTTTTCTCCGTTTTCTTTCGTTATTTCAACCCTCTTCGACATCCCGTTCGACGATATCGTGTAAGATTCCGATGTAAACCTAGAGTCCTTGCCGTTACTGGTCACAGTGTTCCGGAAATTCGTCTCGGAATAGCTCGATTTGAAGGTGATCTCCTTTGCATTGTCCAATTCGTCTTTCTGATGGAGCATCGAGGTAGCAAAGTTCTTGCTCTCTGTCGATATGTAAGGGCGGCTTGTGGTCGTCATGTCGGGGCCCAGAAAATCGTCTTTCAACTGTTTGTTTTCAGCGGCCATATACACATGGAGGGTCGATGTTGCCAGCGACGGATCAGTGTGCGCCTTGGAAGGCGCTTTCGCCGTCAAATCGGTTCTTGTATCATGAGGCCCGAAGGTGGGGACGAGCAGTTTGTTCGCGCTGACCGGCACGGGTACCAAGAGTGAATTATTTTCGCTTCTATACTGATATGTGTATGTTATCGGTCGGATTGGTGACGCTTCCCGGCTCTTGTTTATGTCTTGCCTTAGTTTCGAGTCGTAGGTCGTTAAGTTGGTATAGCCATTTACGGAACAGGCTAGGTTCAAGTAGCTTGGTTTCTTTTGGGGCAGATCGTCTCGACGTTTGTGTTGTCCACGGGATCGATGACTTGACGAGTCGACGTGAACTTTTGGGGGTGGTTTCAGGAGATGCTCAGATTTTCTAGGAGTCGGTGTGGTCTCCTCTGGGGTCCTGATTGGGGTGACCACTGGGGTTGGGGTCAAGTAGTTTTGTTGTAGATTCGAGCCAGCCCGCTCTTGTATGCGGGATGTGAAGTCTCTCACTCGACTTGTGGTAGACGATGGAGTTAGGAGATTCAGACTACCCGACGTTGTATCTGAAAAGAGAAAAATTTGTTATGTTACATTTTCAATGAAAACAATCATGAGGATGTATTTAAAATTACTAGAGGTCCGGCAGTAGTCGAAATTCGACTATAATTAATTGGAATTGTATAATAAGTTTGTACACTATTATGATTGTATTTTATACTTCTATAATCACAAATTTCGCCAAGACTACACTATAAAAAAATATTAATAAAGACAAACAATATTTAATCTATTCTCAATTTGACCACAGACGTCAAGAACAAAAGTTTGACAATAAATAATATGCATGCGTGTGTGCGTCAAATACATGGTATGTAGTGTGTGTAATGTTTTCTTTATTGATTTAATGTATCTTTTATGAATTATTTAAAAAAAAATTAGCATTGTGCACTTCTCTATATTCTCTATAAGTGTGGAAAATTACATACTCTTCCGTCCGCGCAATTTTCGTAAAAAGGGATACAAAGTTTTTGCTTCACGTATTAATATATAGATCATAAGCTACCAGAAATCGGTATAAAATGTTTCCAGTAATCTACCAATAACATACAGCATGAAACAAAAGTTTAGCGAGGAAAACAGGAGGGCGGGTTTTAAACACTAGCATGTGGTGGTAGGGCGCCTTGCGGGCCAACACAGGTACCACCACACCACAAAAAAAAACACAACCCAACCTAAATCTAAAGCAGTAATGTGTTTCGGTTTGAAGAGTGGGGGCAACAGCCATTGTGCTTTAAAAACTAAGACTCGGTGAGACACAAGATGGGGTACGTCGATGAGGATGTCTATTAGCTCTGAAGACAGATTAATATCAGCTAGGCGTGAGTTCGCTTACCCATCTCAGCACCCTTTTCTCAGAACACAAAACTTTCACATAATCTAGGTTACTAAAATTCAAATATTTCATACACAAGTCAAATATACAATTACATATCTGGTATGTATGACATGATTTTTTTTAATACGTATAGTTACTTTCGAAATCCCTTTATGAATTTTTTTATTGCTTCGATGAATGGACGAGCTCACGGCCCACCTGATGTTAAGTGGTTACCAGACCCACAGACATCTACAACGTAAATACCGCCACCCACCTTGAGACATGAGTTCTATGTTTAGTCTCAGTTTTTACAGAACAACGGTTTTACGGGTAAGATTCACCCGTAAAACCGATACGCATTACTGCTTCACGGCAGAAATAGGCAGGGTGGTGGTACCTACCCGTGCGGACTCCCACCGGTCCTACCGCCAGTAATTACGCAAATTATAATTTTGCGGGTTTGATTTTTATTACACGGTTTTATTCCTTCACCACATACAAAAGCACCGGGTACCTTATTCTTTAGATCACGACAACTTCCAATTTTTTTTTAATAATTAATTAATTAGTCAACTATTGTGATTTTATACATTCAACTCACACACAGAATAACATACAGGTACTATAATATTGCAAAGGTTCGACAGCAGGTTTTAATGTTTAAGATGTATTAAAAAACGTTTAAGATATACAATGGTCTAGCTATAATCTGTTATATATATATTACTATATTATTATATTACTGTTCACTACTATATTATTGTTGGTATCCATGGTTGGCTGTAACCATCTACGATCAAATGAAGCCTCAAATATTCGATGGCAATGAAAATATCACTAAAAATTCATATAATCATTTGCGACAATGTCAGATAAAAATCTCATCAAAGACTAATCGAAATTTTAAATAACCTTAAAAATTCTAATGTTTATCCAACATGAGCAGTTGTCAATATACATAAACATATCAACAAAATAAATTCAGAAACCTGCATTAAAATAGAAAAAATCCATACCAAACTCACAACAAATAAAAACTAGGTAATAATCACACATCATTACGCAATACAAATCAGTGAATTTCAATAATTAACAAATATTTATAGAAATATAACTAGTTTTACCTTTCATTTCGCTAAAATATCTTATCTGTTATGTTATGATAAGAATATATTGCATGAGTTTCATAATCTATATTGATAAAATATGTTCATGTTTATAAATGAAAATGTGGAAACAAAATTTATCATTAGAATATACCTCAGGGCAGAAATAGATGGCAGAATAGCTAACTAAGTAATATGCGAATCATTATTATAATTAATGCACCTTTTGTAGTTTGTGTTTCTACAATTTACCTGACTTTTATAAAGCTCATAGCTTTGTAGAATGACTCTGGTTTGTACATAATAAATGCTTTTGTCACAGAACTTTCAGTGAAATGAGTGCATTTTGTTATGGCTAAACTATGGTATAGTAAGGTATACCATAGTTTATATATGGTATGACTATGATTTACTAAGTTTCAGTATGGTGGTTTCTGTAATCTTCGATAAATGGAGAAAGGAATAACTGTACACTCACAATTTGCTTTAAGAACCAGAAAAATGTTCAAGCAGAGTCGCAAAATATTACTAGCTTTGTATTATAGATAAAAAATGTTCAAGCAATACTTTCAGTGCGGGAGCTGTGGAATCAATATTTATCAATGCTTTGACTGTGACATTGTGGAATTTGTTGAATTTATTATTGTTCAAGGGGCTTTGATTGACATATTCATGGTTTTTAATTTAAACTAGACTTCATCAATTGATGCTCAAAATATACCACAGAATAGTTTTAATGAAATTTTCCAAAATGAATTCACAATTGGTAGTCATATCATGGAGGTGATTCAAAAAAAGGGGCCCACTCAGTTTCTCGCCGGATCTTCTCAGTGGGCAACGTTTCCGATTCAGTGGTAAATTCTGTGAAGCACGGCTATTGCTAGGGTTTGTGTTAGCAACGTCGTCAGGTTTGAGCCCTGCCAGCTCACCTACTAGTTCGGTGAATCTAGAGTGAACCTAGGGTGAAACCCTTGAGGTTATTAGAATAGGTAGGGAAAAACAAGTAAATACTTATTATTTTCGCACCATCCATCAGTAATAATACCTTGCTATCTCAGCTAGTTACCTTTATATTTTGAGTAATGGTTTACGACTCTAATCTAGTACTCTCTAAACCGTAAATGGAGTCTATAGGACTAGCAGGGATATAAATGCTGCCTGCTATCTTAAGTTAAATCACAAAATTAACTGCTTTACAGCCAAAATAGGCAAGATGGTGTAAACTAACAATTTCCTTAAAAACACTAAAGCATTGAAACTTTAACATGTTATTAAAAAGTTGTTACTTTTTATTTATCTGATAAACTATGTACAAACTTAATTATGTTTCCTACAGGAAGTCAAATATCAATGTGGCCTTGTAAATTACAATAATTTCTAGATTTACCTGAAGACCTTAAGCAGTAATTTATATATATATATATATATATTTTTTTTATTGCTTAGATGGATGGACGAGCTCACAGCCCTCCTGGTGTTAAGTGGTTACTGGAGCCCATATACATCTACAACGTAAATGCGCCACCCACCTCGAGATATAAGTTCTAAGGTCTCAGTATAGTTACAACGGCTACCCCACCCTTCGAACCGAAACGCATTACTGCTTCACGGCGGAAATAGGCGGGGTGTCTTATAAGCAATTATGCATCATAGTTTGAAGAGTAAGATAGCCACCATAATTGAGACATTCGTTTCAGAGTACCGTTGAACACTGATATTGCCTTTAATCTCGACGAACCACTTATAGGCGGTATTCTTGTGTGTCCATCAGCACAAACAAAATCCCTTTTATATTAAATTTTAACGTAATTTTGAAGCTACGAAAAATTTTAGATCTAACTTTCTACTACTTCGAGTATGTACTAATTTCGAAATTAAAATAAATAAATCGAAAAACGAAAACAGAGAATCGGTTTTATTTATACTTTAAAGATTTAGTCGAATGCTATGCTGTACAGAATTAAACAGGTTTTCCGGTGACTATATTATAATTAGATTACTCATTTTTCGTTTACAATGAACAGATTAAAACGCTGAATCATCGATAACTCACTTAGAGCTTTATAGAAATCTTCGAGTTGTTGACTAGCGACCTTTCAAAGAAACTTTACAATCTTTCGGATAAACTTTTCAAAGGGTTCAAAACAGAAGAAAGACGTTCACCTACCAAAACGAATTACTGAAAAAAATTATACTTGTAACTTTAAATAAATAAAATTTCATCTGACTTACATAAAACATTTAAACACTTTACAAGATTTTTAGGATAACAAAATACGAAACACAATCACATTAATTCACAAAACCCAGAAACGTCAAACTTTTTATTTATGACAATTGACAGTTCCGAAGACGAGCCGAGGTATACAGCCAGTACGTGCGTTCCGTTTCACAGTCCACTCGCGAAGGAACTTTTAAAGATTATTTACATTGAAGGATTTAAATAAAATTATCTAACATCTAGATCGAAGTTGTTTGATCTACGAACGTTTTGACGACAATGAACACGCAATGCAATCAACGCGTAGGTGGAAACAAGGCTGAAGCATATATTATCTGTACATGCATGCAAATTTTCTTGTTTTTGTTTGATTTTGTATTGCAAAACGCATTGTTAGCGGTTTCTATGCGCGACCTACATTATTTATGTAAGATCTGCAATTCACAGTATGTTGAATCTGTGTCAGATAGAAAATTTTGCGTAACACCGGTCGGCTGCCAATTGTTTGAGACAACATTTCGTTAACGTGTTAATTTTTTATTTACATTCACTTTACTATACACTATACCATGCTATCTTTGTGTCACTTCAAATTCAAATTTACGCATAATTATGATGTGTTTTTAGCACCATTGTATGTATTCACTTCGATAAAACGGCACGACACGAGAACCCTCTCATCGTGGCCGCCGGTAACTACATTCCCGATCCTGCGGAAAGATTGGAAAGCAGTCGACGTCGCCCAAAACACGTCATCTCGGATCCTCCCGATCCACTAACGGTGCTTCTAGGCACTTCAAGCACCGGTCACCGTTCTCGTCGAACCCGTCGCTTGCGACGAAGGGCTCGACGAGTAAATTAACTCTCAGACACAGCCCACTGAGTTTCTCGCCGGGTCTTCTCAGTGGGTCGCGTTTCCGATCCGGTGGTAGATTCTGCGAAGCACGGCTCTTGCTAGGATTCGTGTTAGCATCGTCGTCAGGTTTGAGCCCCGTGAGCTCACCTACTAGTTACGGTTACGCTGGAATAGCCTCTCTAGGCTACCAACTTAGGTAGGAAAAAAAAATGTATGTATTTTTCCTTTGCAATTGATTTTAAACTTTATTTTACACGCTAAACGATTTTATTTAGCTTCTGTTTAAAATTACGTTCCATTTAACATGCCACATCAACATGTCTTAGTTCAATACCGAATATCCGAGAGCCGTAAGTACATCTTCGGACTTTGAAGGCTAAAAATAAGTCGACATCGTCCAAAGATTAACAGGCAAAAGGCGTGGAAACGTATAATTTAGTTAAAGCAATTAACTTGACATCGAACAGAAGAGTATTCTTATACAAATGATCAGTATTTTCGATATTGGATACTAAAAATACGTTTAAATTAAAAACCTGTCTTGAAGTAAACTATAATCCAACTATATAGTGAGCACGTATCGTCTGGAACAACATATTTTCACTTCCTTATCGTTGGCTTTCCAAATACTCGGGGTTGTGTTGCGTTATTATTTTCAATTGCAACATTAATTATTGGTAGCACCGCTGACGTCCGTAAGCGATGGCGACTATGAATCGGTCTGGTCGACTGCCTTTAACAGCAATTCAAGTAAACACAGCACGTGTTTTCCATACGTGTACATAGATTTACACTATACAGGTGTGTATTAGACATACGCACGACATTGTCACGTGTAATTTACGTGTAGTTCTCGTATTAAACTGTGCTATTGCGCCAGACCCCGTGCGTGGGTAGGTGGAATAACCCCTTAGGCTACCGGCTAATAGGTGGAGAGAGAAAAAGCACCACAAAAGATTCTTTCGATAGATTTACCTTATTTCGAATTCTCTTAAGTTATTTATGATTAGTATTGGATAATAATTTTCTTTAGTGGTAATGTGTGCGTTACTATGTTATAGTCCTTACATGCGCGAGCTTGCAGGCTGCACATTCATTTCGTGTCAATACTGCAAACCGGCGGACCTTGAGGAATTCTGTATCAGCACTCAATTTAGAGAGGAGATAGAAAAACTTGTGATATCGTACAATATGCGCCCATATACATCGATCTATATATGAAATACAATCGATTCTGTACCCATAGAGACAGACCACTGAGTTTCTGCACGGATCTTCAGAGTATATCGCAATTCTGATCCGGTGGTAGATTCAACGTAGCACTGCTCTTGCTAGGACTAGTGGTAACAAACTCTCTCAGGCTGAGCATGTGAGCTCACCTACCCCTCTGCGGGAAACTGAAATAGTCTGTTAGGCTACCAGCAAATAGATAAGAAAGAAAAAAGATTCGGCAAGCTCGTCCACTCATCTACGCAATAATAATATGTAATTAGTTTTTATTTTCTATGTTCATATACATACCATACTAAAAATTGATTGCATCCTCTTTCACTATGTCAATACTGGCCGGGATATTAGAGCAAATTTATAAAATTATCAAATTATCATCGCCTTTTGATATTGAGGCAATCGTCAATATAATAAAATTAAAAAAATCCTTACGTACAAACACAAACGCAAATATAAATTGTATATACCAAACTAATAAAATCGTGTTATAAATACATAGAGGTTCTAAATTTCATTGACATCATACTGTTGTGATTTATTTCAATGTCATTGCATAATTATTATACTCTGTCAAAAATGACCAGTATCAAGACTTAGGGTCTAATTTAGTTTGTTTTTCAACGCATTAAAATAGTAGCCTTAGTACGCACAAAGCCCGAAGGCATGGGTGCTGCGCAGCTAAAACAGAATTCTGAAATCAGTTCGTTCCGTCACAAGAATTGCTAGCACCATAGTTCGATTATTACTAAAAAAAACCAGGCAATATATTATAAATTAATTCATTAATAATGTACAATTTTCATCGATAATATTCTAGTATTTTTTTTTATGATTGAAGGGTTACTGGTGGCCGGAGGCCTTTCCAGTTTCACCAGGACAGGTGGGCGAACAAGGGCTCAGCCAGGAGGGGCCAGTAAATTTGATAGTGGTTTTTGTTAACTATTAAATGACAACTTATTATGATATTTTTAATAAAGGCAAACCATGCATTCTTTGTCACAATTCACAGCGACCATAGACAAACATAACTTTTACCTGAGAAATCCGTGCTGGCATCCACGTCCAACGAACAACTACCTATAGAATCCACCGACTTATCCATCACTTTAACAATTAAATCCGCGACCCGATTCTTTATTAAATCTGATTCCTTAACTTCGATTTCGTAATGTCCTATACTGTCAATGTCATTTCTGTAATTATGTGATACGGTTATATGATTTTCGGCATCGGATATATTTGCGGGGTCTGGTATAAGAATGTTTTTGTCCAGGATCAAAGTGCTTTGGCTTGTGAAGTTGCTGCGTATCGGTTCAATGTATTCCACGTCCTCGTCGTCTATGTAGACGTGATTGGCGTGTCCGCTCGGCCCTTGGACATCGGTTGCGTCCTTCGGGACCGCATCAACGACCGCTTGGGTTTTATTTAAGTTTTTTACGTAATAGTTCTCTAGCTTCTCCAGCTGTCTTCGTGTTTCGGAATGCTTCTTCTTAACTGAATCAATGATGACCGGTAGGTTTAGCAAATCGGGCGTCTTCACCCGTTTGTGATCGTCGCGTCTGAATACAGGCGAGTCATCGCTCTCGAGTTCGAATCTTTTATATTTGGACGAGCAAAAATCGTCAACGGATGACGTGTCAGACTTTTTCGTATCGAAAAACGTGTCTAGCGAAAAAAACGACTTCCGCTTTTTCTTAGGTTGGCTGCCCTTGTTAAAATTCGTCGGGATGAAGGGGTCGCCCGATTTGAATTGTTGCACGCAAATGTTGCTCGTGTTTATGAATGATTTGGGTCGGTTTTCCTGGGGCAGACTTAGCACCCTCGTGTCCTTGCGGGAGTCCAAGCTCAGAGTCTTTCTGAATCTCTCGTTAAGGTTCGCGAGTAGGAAGTGTCTTCTTTCCGTTGATTTAGGGGTGACGTTATAACTCTGCTTACTACTCGACGGCTGGTTTAGTGGAATGTGTTCTGTGTATTTGTATTCTATCTCGTTCTCAGAGTAATCCCTACATTGTGGTTGGTAATTGGGAAGGAGTTGGTCGGGTCTGTGGAACGAGAAAGAGCCGCGGTTCGAGCTCTTCTTCCGATCGCAGATGCAATTGCCGACGCAACTCAGCTTTGAGCACTTCTCCTCCTGCTCAACGAAGATCTCGTGCTCGACCTTCGGAATGTAGCTGTCCGGTTTATTCTTGTGAACGAGGAGGTCCTTCCTGATCTGTTCCAGTCTCTCATCACCGTGCTGGCCCCTTGTGTATTTGGACTTGGGCGGTCTGAAGAATCTTATAGAGCCCGACGAATGAGGTTCTATCGATCTCCTCCTGACGTACGGCGAGTCGGAGATCTTGTTCACCCCTAAAAGGAGCACCGGAGACTTCTTATCTTCCTCATCAGCGAGGTCACTGCAAATAATAGAAACATGATATGGATTTTGTTGATATTTGAGTATAACCAATAGCCAGCCAAGAGTACTTCCACTACCCTATGATTTCAGTGTTGTGTATAGATTTTTTAATAATATTAATCATATAATAAAAAAATTTGGTGGGTGAAATATTAGAACTACATATGTATATATAAAGAAAAAAAACAAAGAATTGTAGGAGTCAAAATTCTTATTTTGAATTTGGTATTGTACAAAAGAACCAATGATTTTGTTATAAAAAAAATATCATTTGAACATCTAAAATAAGTGGAAGTTCTCCTAGATAAGCTTTCGTAATGACCGTTGCTTTTGACTGCGAAGCTATCTCTTAATTTTGCACAGCTTTAAATTTTTCTCTCCAACATTTATTATTTATTTACATTTCTATTATTTTAGTATTGAGGAGCACAAGAAAACGTAACGTGCAACAAAAGACATGCAGAAGCAAAATAAATAACAAAAAAAAAACAAAACATACACAAAATACTCACTTTTACTATCGAACGAAGGCAACAAACTCAAGCAATTCTTTCGTTATAAAACTGAAAAATAAAATACAAAATACGTTTTTTTTTTTCCTACCTAAGCTGATAGATAGCCTTGAGAGGCTATTTCAGCGTAACCTTAACTAGTAGGTGAGTTCATGGGGCTCAAACCTGACGACGTTGCTAACATGAACCCTAGCAAGAGTCGTGCTTCGCAGAATCTACCACCGGATCGGAAACGCGACCCCCCACTGAGAAGATCCGGCGAGAAGCTCAGTGGGCCAAATACGACGCCGTCGCACAATTTATCCTATTGTGGAATGTTTTAAGACCTTAATATACAGCGGAAAACAAAAATGACACCAACAACAAATACGTTTTAACATTTTATCCATTAATTTCGACTCTGGAATAATCGCCACTGCACACGATTTTTCTAGGGCGCTATGACATGTCCTTCTTCAAACGAGTCTTGGAAAGACTTCGAGAGGTGAAAGGTTATTTGGCTTAAGCGAAATTTCGCTTAAAAAGCGACATTTACCTTTGTAATTATAGTTGCGTTTTATTTGGTACTAGCCGAGTCCCGCGATGTTACCTGCGGTTATTGTCGTACCACGCGTGACGCCGCGGGACGAAGTTATTAAAAAAAAAGTAGCCTAAGTTACTCTTTATATCATCAGCTACCTATCAGTGAAAGTCCCGTCAAAATCGGTACAACCGTTCCAGAGATTAGCCGGAACAAACAGACAGACAGGCAGACAAAAATTGTAAAAAACGTTATTTTGGCCTATGTACCGTATATATATTCATACGCATGTAGTAAAAAGCGGTTATTTCAATATTAAAAACAAACACTCCAATTTTATTTATGTGTACAGATTAAAATCAACAGTTCGATGTTTTAATTGAACTTCAATTATGTTTACTCCACTAAGTCCACTCCAGTTGAAGATGGTTTTTTGTTATGATATTTTTTCCAGCCTTAGAAGGCTCTCCTGTAAAGTTACAAAAGCGTAAACCAAATTAAACAGATAAGCTTTCACCCCTCGACTTGGATAGGGCTGGCAGCGGTTTATCCGTGACCCTGGTATAGCTGATAACCGGCGGCATTTCTCAGCAGGGTCCTATACGATTTCAAAGGCAAATGATTAGTTCAAATCTGAACCATATTTGCGGGGTAAATGGTAAACACATAATAATGCCTAAATCCTGTGTGCTTCTGGAAACCGTAGACAAATTGGTTTAGGCTTTGACGATTTGATTTTATTTGACGTCTGATTGACGTTAAAGAACATCAAATCACAATGGATTTCATTGGCACCGCGAGGCCAGCTAAATTCACTCGACCGCCTTACTGACCTTTGCAAATGAACGACATGTATTACACAGTGGAAGAACGTCACATGTTTTTTTTATTTATTGCTTAGATGGGTGGACGAGCTCACAGCCCACCTGGCGTTAAGTGGTTACTAGAGCCCATAGACATCTACGACGTAAATGCGCCACCCGCCTTGAGATATAAGTTCTAAGGTCTCAAGTATAGTTACAACGGCTGCCCCACCCTTCAAAACCGAAACGCATTACTGCTACACGGCAGAAATAGGCAGGGTGCTGGTACGTACCCGCGCGGACCTACAGGATGTCTTACCACCACATGTGGCCGCGATCCTCAGTAGTGAGGGAACGATATAGAATAGAATTACGTATCTGTTACTCAGGGAACAGAACAGCTAAGTACTGTTTTAGTAATAAGTTCGTTTTTGCTGCAGACTCTTTAGCCCTGGCAATGGGGACTCAAGGCGTCGCGTGGGCGGCTCTTTACGCGCCTTGCGAAAGAAGAACTGGTTAATAGAAACCCTCACTCCCAGGTGCCGATCTAGACCAGGCTTCAGTCAGACGATTGCCAGTTCGGTAATCAGTGATGGGATGAGGTTACGGGTAACATAGGCACCAACCACGCTAGGCGATACCTCTACTGTCCTGTCTACCTGGGTTGAGTTCTCTTATCCGAGGTCGGACTTGAATTCTTGAGCAAAGAAAATATTGAATCCTTAGCAAAATTCTTGTTTCAAGGACAGACGAAGTGTATGGTCATGATTGCTCAGTGTTGACCATCATCAAGTCATTACATTGTCAGTAAGCTGTGGTGACAGCTTATATAGCACAACACTCGTACATTTATTACCGTGCAAATTATCAAATGGTAAATATAAAAACATTATGTATACGACATAGATAAAGGCGCGCCCCGTTCCCTTTTAATACAAATAATTTAACGTTCGTTACATGTGATACGCGAATGTTTCGTAATCCCTTGGGCTATTAATTTCAACAAAATGACAATTATTTTTTTTTGCTTGTTAGCTATGTCAAACTATCAGACTTGACGTTATGGGCTTGAACTCCTTTGCCTATTTAAGCAGAAAATATCAAACGACTTAATTTAAAATACTAATCGTCCTAAATTTTGGATTTAAATCACGCTAATAAAAGAAGTCGCGGCGGGGTGACGACTCAGTTGAGCGCCTTGTGGTGCAGGGCACGATAGAGGGTACAAGACCACGCGGCAGATCACCGTTACGATGGACCGACCAAATAAAGGCTCTAACCGGTCCCGTTAACGAGTGCACAAGAAGGGCCGCGGTACGCGATTAATGGCGACGTCTGGTGAAGCGCACCACCACCCCAAGTGATGACCACGACCGCTCTGCCAAGAGTGCATACGACTGAGAAGAATAAAAGAAGTAAGATTTTTAGTCGTAAATCTTAAATATGAATTGATATAATAACAGAAACACTAGTTTGCGATTTAATCAATGTTGACTAGCGGGTAACCGTTGTAAAGTCCCGTTATTTGGAAATTATTGCACGTAGTTGTGATGTGTAATTTAATTATGACAATGACAGCTCCTGTCACCGTCGAGATACGATATTTATTATTTAAAAAAAAAGGTAACACTACTTGAATTTAGTTAGATTATACTTTTAAAAATCAACTTAAAGCCCGTCAAAAGTTTCGATAAAGTTAAAAAGGCTCGAACGCAAACAAAAGAACGTAGGCAGAACAAAATTAAAATCTGATGATTTGTGATCAAGTACGCAAACACACGCACTCAGACTCACACCTAAACACATTTCCTTGTAAGCATCTTCAACTTACAGACCCTATTACCAATAAAATTAATATAATCGAGAGAATCACAGCGGACTAGCGACACGAAAAACTTTTTTTAGCATTTCTTTTAATTTCCAAAGCCGTAATTAAAAAAAAAAAGAACTTAATGTGAGAACCTTTTTTATTTACTCTCACTGATGATATAAGTCATTTGTTTCTTTTTTTTTTGGTAAATTAACAGCTAGAGGTACAGCTAGTAATATAAAACAGTTCTTCTAGTTGCGTTTAATACACTTTGGCATGCTATAGAGCAATTTAAGCGCTATGGCCAACGAGACTCGTAGTGCTCTGACAAATACCAATATCGATAAATCTAGATGTAGAAAGCGAATATACTACAAGCATTATAGTAACTTTTATTCCTTCTCATGTTGCTCTAAGTCTTGGCATAATTTTATGACCGGCGCCTGCCTGATGTCAACCCTCTTGGGGAATGCCTTTGTTGACTTTGGGCCTATAATGTATTGGCTATGGTCAGGCTTTGGCTCTTAGTCGCTTTCTACGACACCCACGAGCTAAGTTTGGGTTGGGGGTATTCTTAGGCGCCCACCACGCCCACGGAGTGAGCGAAGAAACGGTATATGATAGAGAAGTATGGAAGGAGAAAATATGTTATGCCGACCCCAGGTGACTGGGAGAAGGGCAAGAAACGAATTGCAAATTTCAAACAATACTTTTTTATTTACAGCTTAAACGGGAACCACCTCACAGCCCATCTTTTTTTTATTGCCCTTGTAGGCAGACGAGCATACGGCCCACCTGATGGTGAGTGGTTACCGTCGCCCATGGACTTCAGCAATGCCAGAGACAGAGCCAAGCCGCTGCCTACCGTTGAGTACTTTCCACAAGCCTCGTTTGAAGAAGGACAAGTCATAGCGCTCGGGAAACACCGTGGAGAGGAACTCATTCGAAAGTCGGTTGGTACGTGGTAAAAAAGTTCTCTGGAAACGCACTCTACTTCGGTGGCGGGCGGTGCGATAGTAAAAACGAGATGATGGAATTATCTCAAATACTTCCTCAGAACACTCTCCATGGAATATACGGTACAAAAGGCAGAGAAAAGCGAAGTCCCTCCGCAGACCCAGAGGTTCCAAACGATCCATCTGGTGTAAAGTGGTTATCGGAGCCCATAGGCATCAACGACGTAAACGCCGCTACCTATTTCGAGACATGATTTCCAATTTTAAGTATTACTAGTAGTTGCCCGGTAGTCGAAATTCAACTATAATTAATTGAAATTATAAGTTTGTACACTATTATGATTCTATTTTCAAAGACTATTTATTATACTTCTATAATCACAAATTTCGCCAAGAC